CCATTCTTTCAACTCAAGCCCTTCTTGGTCACATCTTCTTTCTCTTTCCTGGTAAAGCTATGAAAAGCCCCGGAAAGCATAGTCAGAAGGGAAAGCGAACCCAAGCAAGGTCAACCTCACCACAGAAAAGATTTTTTCTCACAAGAGAGCTGAAACCGGGCGTAGCTGCTATTTCACCGGGAGTGAATCTAGCTAGGGCTATTTTCCACTAATAAGAATCTCCTGACCCAGGGTATTCGTAGATGGGAGATTGTCTAAATGGTAATAAAGCAGTCCTATTATATAAAAGAGAAAGAAGATCACTTCTGCTTGTTCTCTCTTTTTCCGAGTCAGATTACATTCAAATCGTTATTTGAAATGTCAAGATTGGCTTGGTCGTCGTCACACCACTCGCTGATGCGGATCTGGGAGGCTGGGTCGGCTAGCATTGAATACGAATAAGCTCTTCTTTCATTCCTCTTGTTCAAATGCTTTCCCTTGGCTTCGGTGCCAGCTAGGACTGGTAGCATGGTCTTCTCTTAGGGTTTCTCTTGGATTCGGAATGGGAGCTGCACGTTAGCACTTTCTTTTCTGACTTGACTTTCTGACTTTTCCAGCATAAGAGGTCTTTTTTATTTACTGTTTTAGCGGAATAAGCAGTCTTGGTGCTTTGGGCGTGGAACTATCGGAATAGACTGTTTGAAAGAAGGACGTTAAGCTGCTAGTGATAGAGATTGAATATCTACTGCAAGAGGAAGCGCTCTTGGAGGAAGAACAAGAAGGGCTGGTGCCCTAATATGCACTGGATGACAGAGTGAGGGAGGAAAGGCAAAGGAAGGATAAATAGTAGGAAGATATCCCACGGACAGGTAAGACGCATCAACAGGTCTTTCGGCCTAACGAGTGCATTCATCTTGTTCATCAACCTCCTATTCCTCGTACAAAAACAATGCCTTAATGGCTGCACCTCTTCTTTTCCGAACCAAGGATGAGAATCTTACCTACCTTCCTTTTTCCCTTTTGTGTTGTCTAGCTCTAAAATAAAACTTCTCTAGCGCCTCAAAGAAAAGGGGTTCCGTAACTCAACAAAAGCCTACATTTAGAGGCAGCGGACCTTTAGTAGTTTCATTTCTTTCGATTTGGTTTCGGTAAAGCAATCTGCCTATCCATTAAGCTGAATTCCACTTAAGAATAAAAACGGGAGTATGCCCCTTTCGGTTATTACTTAGTTCAGGTTCTTGACTCCGAAGTGCAAACTGGCTCATCACTCTATCTAATGTCTCGCCCTGGTCGAAACGGTTCTAAGCCCTTGCCTATTCCTTTTACCCAAAATTTCATCCATCAGCTTTGTTCTACTTTTGCTTTTATCGGTATCTTTTGCTAGCCTCCTCCCTTTTATTCGGAATCGTTCCCCCCGTCACACCTTATATTGCTGCATCTATAGACATAATAGAGCGGCACATGTCTTATTTGGTATTGATTGTATCGGAAAGTTCTACCATGTATGTTATCCTGCCCTCAAGGCGGAACGAGCACAACCAACAGATGTGAATCCGAGAGCCCTACCTCCACCAAGGATAGGATAACCAAGCACGCTTTGCTTCGTGAGTTCCACCTCATGTGGTCTTGTTTAAAACAATGATGGGGAACCAAGGCACGAAAGAGTGTGTAGTACTACTTTTTTAAAGCCATAAAAGAAAGCTTCCAAAGTAATTAGGAGATCTCAAACCAGATTTGTTAGGGAAACAGGGTAAGCTAAGCGCTGTTCATAAGCTTGGTGTGGCGCGTGCTACACAGAAAAGGATAGCGACTGCCCCTCTCCTTACAGTCGAGTTATCCTACTCCCATGTAAAAAAGACCAAACAAGGGTCCATCCAATTCTTGTGTTGAATGTGAAGCTTGGCTTAGACAAAGCAAAGGGGAAACAAATCCCAATATGATCTTGCCATCATTCTCTTACTTGACTTGGGAAAGGACCTTCTCTTTCTAGCCATCTTTCTGTGGGAATATTCTCCTTATCTTATCTGTTCTCTTACTTCTTTTATCTCTCATCTAAAGTCAGAGAGAGGAAGTGAAGTCAGAGAGATCATGCTTTCAGGAGAGCTTCTCTTATGTCATTGGCTATCTCATAGCAATCGCTTATAGCGCAAGGATCTCACTCTAACTCTCAGGACGGAAGTGGGAAAGGAATGAAAAAAAAAGACATGAAACCTCCGATCCAAGCTGTTATCCGACATTCCTTGCTTAGTTAACAAACTTTACTTTCCTTCAAGACAACCAGCTTTAAGGAGGAAAGCTTCTAGTTTTCTGCCATCTAGTTTGAGTGGTTGCTCCTTTAAGCCTGCTCCCTTCCACCCGTAATGACTTCCTTCACTATTGCTGCTAGTGAAGTTGAAGTGCTTCTCGTTGTCACATCTAGCTCTATTCAATTAGAGTTTAACCGTCGATTCTCTTTGAAAGCGATTTCCTCTTTCTCCAAGATTACCTGCTGATATAGGCTTCTTCTCTTTTGAAGTCCAAACAGTTCCCAAGCCCATACAAGTCAATTGCCGAAACAAGGTAAGCCACTCCTGCCATTGATCCAGTTGGTGTGGTAAGACTAATAAGGTAAAGCCCCTAAGTTGAAGTTGTAGTGCTTCGTTCCTTTCCAACCTCAGCTATTGATTAAGTTTAAGTTAAATTAACTAACCTGAGGCTTTGAGTTTTATTTGAAGTTGGAGTCTCGTTCATTCGCCCTCATTTAATTCCTTGTTAAGCTTGACTTTAAGCCCTCTCTCTTACATACCATGCAATGCTGCTCTTGTAGAAGGAGTTGATAGGTTCCCCCCTTTTACCAGTAGAAAGAGAGCTGTTTCCACCTTCCCTTTCTTGGGTCCGTGGATGGAGCCCCTGCCAAGGCTAAAAAAGGAAGAAGGGCTAGTTTCAAAAGTAGTGCACGAAGGATCTTTGGCACTTTCTCATCTGGCTGACCTTACTTCTAATAGAACAAGGGGACTAGCTCTTGCGCGCTTCCCTGCTTACTCCACATACACCCGGGTACTTCAAATAAAAGATCTTTTCCTTAGTAGGATTCCCCTAGCACCTTGATTAGCTTACTAACTACTTGCTGCATGGTCGAGCCGAAACTTCATAACCTTCCTTTCCTTCAAATAGCTCTTATCATGCTTCCTTACTCTAAGGCTTACGATCGATGGCACCTGGAGATATAGGCGTAGCGCAGGGCAGGATAGACGAGATAAAAATTCAAGAGTATATGTTTGGGTTAGGCGAAGTCCAGAGGTGGAGCGAGATACCTCCATGCCGAGAAAGTCATGCAGCGGATGAAAGAGACAAATTGGTTGCCAAGCTCCTTGATGAAATCGAATAAAAGAGAAGAATCATTCCCGGTGAGAATGTTGTCGTCAACGTATAAAAGAAGGATGAGGCAACGACCATGACCTCGACGAATAAACATGGAAGAATCCGCACGGCTACAGCGGAACCCTTTATCAAAAATGAAGCAGTGAGAAACGAGCTAAATTTCTGAAAGCAGGCCCCTTCTTAGCTCTTGGTGCCTGCTTTAGCTTGTCGGAGGCCGTAACGTAAATCGCTTTCTTGAGCTTGCATACCAAGTTAGGATTCCTAGGAGAAGAGAAGCCTGGAGTTGGAGGAGGCTGAATAGAAATTCTTGCGAATCCCCCCTTCCCTTATGTTGTTGAAAGGCATTCTTCACGTCAAGTTTAAATAAGGGCCACTTTTTGATTGCAGCTAAGGCAAGAATGCCGCGAATGGTTTCAACCTGGGGCAAATGTTTTCCCTATCTTTAAAGGGGTTCGACTCAATATTTTGGAAGGAATCCTTTAGCTACTAATCTAGCTTTGTATCTCTCTACCGAGCCATCTGCTTTATGCTTGATCTTGTAAATCCACTTGCAGCCAATGGCTTTGTTTCCCTGCAGGCAATGAGACTCAGTCTTATTCTTTTTTCCTGGGCATTGATTTCTTCCTGCATAGCATCTCTCCAGCAAGAATGATTGAAGGCTTCAGCAAATGATTCAGGTTCATGAGAAGATTGAACTGACATGAGGTAAGCTCGATGTTTTGGGGAAAACTATTCTTAAGATAAGACAAAAATCCTTCAACAGGATAAGAAACTTGAGAGGGTCGACGAACCTGAGAGAGGGATCCAGAATCTGAGGAAGCGGCTGGAAGGGAAGCAACTGGGCTAGACTGCCGATCTTCTGGAGTAATCTTACCCTGGGAAACATAGTGTAATCGCCGCCGAGAATAAACATGCAGCGCCGGGTGACTGGAATCCTCTGAGGTCAGCTAAACAGGCTCACAATCGGCAGAAGATGCTGGGCAAGGCTGCTAGCCTGAAGAGTGAGGCTGATCCGTAACATCAACAGCAGAAGAATGAGGTTCGAGTTGATGAACAGGAGAAGGCCGCAATACATCTCCATCACCATTCTCCCCCGGGGCTGATTAATTCAGTTAAGGAAAATATGAGGCGACCTCATTAAAGAGAACATTCAAGGATACATCGAGTCTCTTGGATTTCACGTCATAGCATCTATACCCGGACTAAGCATATCCAAGAAAGACACAAGTGGTTTCCTTGGGGACAATTTTTCTCTTAACTGCGCAGGAATATGAACAAAACACGTGCATCCAAACACTCGCAAATGCCTATAGGATGGTGCTGCCCCAGTAAGAAGTTCGTGAGGTGCCGCTGCAGCTTATTCCCTCTCTCTCCCCCCCAAAAAAAAGGAGAGAGAGTCCCTTCTTTATGCACATCCATATACATAGCCAGACACAAAGGTGTACAATCCGGTCAAAATCAGCGGTTTTTTAAGTTCATTCACTGTAGGTTCTCTTACCTGCTCTAGTGGCTGGCAAACGCCAACCGAGAGGGGAGAACGAATGGCTCAGGAATCGACTGGTTCCGAGCGGACTCGTGGAGCTGCTGCTTGGATTATCGTAGAATAAGAGGAGCCCTTCTTAGGAAATGACTTAACTTAAAAGACAGGTGCCGCCGCAGCG